CCTCCCTGTACCTTTTCTAAGAAAAAAATAGCAACAACCAGACATTATTATTAACAAATATTTATCAAGTGTTTACTATGTAGAGAAAACTGTGCCTGGTGAAAGGATACAAATAGTAAAACCCACCCCCTAGAGGTGAAGCATAGTAACCTCCATCTTGTATAAAAACTGCTGTTTGAAATTCTCTGGTATTTTAGATAGTCCCTTGTTCTGTAAACTCTGTCATTGTAAACCGTCATTTTTAGACAGTCTCTTATTCTATAAAATAACTTTGTTTTTAGCTCAAATAATAGAAAAGATAAACTTAACTGTTGGACCTTGCAAGCTAGCCATTTAATGTAATAGACAAATTTGATAATATTCCCATATTCTCATGCCAAGTGTTTATTCATTATGTATCCAAGGTTATAAGCTGTCTGTAAACATAACTTACACAAAGCTCTTTGTAAAGTCTACAGAAGGTCCGGAAAAAACATATTTGGAAAACAATGAACTGAAAGCATATAAATAAAGCAAGCTTCCTCCATGTTGTTTGCTGAGAATTTGACAGAGATATTCTGCTCTGAGCCTTCGTGTAATAAAGACTCCTAATTAATTGGCTTGTTAAGCCATCTTGTATCTAGCTCGCTGATTTATGCTACAACAGAGGCAGAACTAAAGGGGATCTGAGAAATCATTGCCCACTTCCCTCAGCGTACAAAGATAGTAGTCAAGGTAAAATAACTTTCCAAAATCATTAAGCTTGTCCACTGGCAGAGGCAAGATGAGAACCTAAGTCTCTGAACCTCTCTAGCCCAGCATTATCTCACTCAGCCTCAAAAATAAAGACATTAGAAAATTTCTGGAAGACTGTACAAATTCACCTTGGGAGATGGTACTTGAGAGTGGAGAAGTTTCCTACTTTCCACTTCAGAACTGGAATTTTCTGTCTTATACATGTACTACTTTAATAATAAATACAGCCTGGCTAGTGTGGCTCAGTGGTTAAGCATTGACCTATGAACCTGGAGGTCATGGTTCAATTCCCAGTCAGGGCTCATGCCTAGGTTGGTGGGCTTGATCTCCAGTGTGAGGTATGCAGGAGGAAGTTGATAAATGGTTCTCTCTCATCATTGATGTTTCTTTTTCTCCTCTCTGAAATCAATAAAAATGTTTTTAAATAATAATACAACAATTATAATAAAGTTAAAGTAGAAAGCACACAAAATTTTATGTGGCAACCAAAATGGAATACCTTCAACTTTTTATCATCAGTTATTTTTTTAAATTCTCATTCGATATGTGTATTGGTTTTTTAAAAATATATTTTTTATTGATTTCAGTATCAATGATGAAAGAATCATTGATCAGCTGCCTCCTGCATGCCCCACACTGGGGATCAAGCCCGCAACCTGGACATGTGCCCTGATGAGGAATCAATTGTAATCAGGCTTGATTTTTGAGAAGAGCGTTGATCAGTTGCCTCCCATAGCCACCATGACAGGGATTACCAGCAACCTTTCAGTGTAACACCACTCCAACCAACCGACCCACCCAGCCAGGGCTATTATCAATTATTTTAAAACTCAAGGTATGTTTCCATACTTGACAATGTAAAGTACAACACTATTAACATATGTGTAAATGAAGCCATTGGGTGGATGATACCAAAATAGGGCCAGAATTGCCGTGAATCTTTTCCTTTCTTTTGTTTGTTAATCCTCACTGGAGGATTTTTTTTTAGAAAGTGAGAGGGAGGGAGGATGGAAGGGGGAAAGAGAGGGAAACGCTGCTATGTGAAAGACACAGTAATTGTCTTCCACACAGCATATACCCCCATGTAACCTGACCGGGGCCGAGGAACGAATCTGCAACCTAGGTAAATGCTCTCGACCTAGAATCAAACCTGTGACCTTTTGGTCTGTGGCCTCAGGCTCTGTCCACTGAGCTACATCACACAGAACTGTGAATCTTCTCTATACTCTCAGAAGGATAAAAATGCAAAAATTCCATTGCTTTGGCACAAAAGCAAGGTAAAAATAGATTACTCTATTGTAAATGATATTCACATGCTTGTCTTTTTTTTTTTTTAATATATTTTTATTGATTTTACACAGAGAGGAATTGAGAGGGACAGAGAGTTAGAAACGATGAGAGAGAAACACCGACCAGCTGCCTCTTGCACACCCCCCACTGGGGATGTGCCCGCAACCAAGGTACATGCCCTTGACCGGAATCGAACCCGGGACCTTTCAGTCCGCAGGCCGACGCTCTATCCACTGAGCCAAACCGGTCCCGGCTGTCTTTTTTTTTTTAAATATATATTTTATTGATTTTTCACAGAGAAGAAGAGAGAGGGAAAGTTAGAAACATCGATGAGAGAGAAGCATCGATCAGCTGCCTCTTGCACACCCCCTACTGGGGATGTGCCCGCAACCAAGGTACATGCCCTTGACCGGAATCGAACCCGGGACCTTTCAGTCTGCAGGCTGACGCTCTATCCACTGAGCCAAACCGGTCCCGGCTGCTTGTCTTCTTTATATCCAGGGCTTACTTTATAAGGTTTTCTACTCTCTATCTGGCCTACCATAAATTGCATCCCTAGGATCAATGAAACAGTCTTTGCAGCTTTGTTTTCCTGGGAGAACCTGTATGACATGTCTTTTCCCTACTACTCACAAGATGTGGGGAAGGTTAGCCACTTATTAAGGTGGTAATTCTAGTGAATTAAAATTTTAAAGTTGCTTATTTCAGTTCCTTGGGATAATTTATGACTTTGCCTCCAAGTAGAATCCTTAAATGTGCACAGAAAGAAAACACCATCCAAACAGTAAGCACTTCAGGGAAAGGCAGCCAGCTTAACTGGTTTTAACAAAAGGGAAAAAACAGAGGAGCACCCACTGCCCAGCTGCCACTGGAGCACCTTCGCCCCTCCGCGCCACTCCAAAGTAACATGAGCGAGGCACTCTGGCTTAGGTCTCCAGACAGGAAAGGCAGGCAGGATCTGATGCTAAACTCTTTGTTCAGTGATTTGGCTGTGCTGGGCTCCCATTTTCGGGATTAGCTAGGCTTGTTCTGACTGCGAGTCATCTCAGTTTAACCTGGTGTCAAATGATCATTTAAACAAGTAAGGTTGTAACTGTAGTGGTTCTTATATCAACCAGTGGCTCTGCTTTTAAGGAGCAAGGACTGGTAACCATGGCCAGCAGGCCAAATCGAAAATAAAAGTTGTGACAGAAACCGCTTGGCCTGCAAAGCCTAAATGTTAGTACTCTTTGCTAGCTGGTCTCAGAGTATTGCTTTTGAAACAGTATAGGGTCATACTGGACTCCATCGTGACCAAAAGAACTCCATCTTAGATGCTTTACTATGGCTTTGGGCTTTCAGTAAAATTCCATAGTTAAAGGAACTTAACCACATTCTTAAAGGAAAGAATGTATGATGATGACATCCTTTCCAGAAACATGTTCTGCCAGAGATGTTTTGTCCATTTAATGGTAACGGAATAATTATGCAAGCATTATTTTACAGGCCCTGTGACCACCCTGGGATCAACCATGGTGGGAGGGCGATGGTGGAACCATCAACCACATCCTCATTCCCAAGCCCTCCACCTGTGCAAGGCCCCTCTACAAGACACAAGAACCCCTGGGGAGCTCGACTTCGCTCTTCTGGTTGACTCTCTTGTGCACAAGGTCTTTTTTTCTCTTTTGTTAATCTTCATCTGAGGATGTTTCCTATTGGTGTTTTTATAGTGTGGAAGGTGAGGGGGAGGAGAGGGAAGGCGCCCCAACCAGGGCTGGAAATCGAACCTGCAACCCACGTGCGTGCCCTTGACTGGGAATCGGACCAGAGACCCTTCAGTGTACCAGCTGACGCTCTAACCACTGAATCACTCCGGCCAGGGCTGCACAAGCTCTTTTCAATGAACTCTGCTTGATCGTGTACTAAGCTCCCTGCTCATTTCTATGACACTGAGACTGGAGAACGTCATTCTAGGACAGTAACACTTCCTCCCCTTACCTACGTAAAAGACCCTTCCAGTTCCGCCTCTGCCCCTTTCTCAGAGCTCACCTCCCACGGTTCCCAATCACTGGCTCTGTTCCACACAGCTGCTGGCTGCTCTCTGCTTTGAATGCCAAACCGACTCCAAACGGTCCCTCGAAGAGCAGCTCAGGCATCTGCTCCTCCCAGCCAGTCTCCCCTCTACTAGACAGCACACATGGCAATTTTTAAGTCAACCTCTTTCCTAGTTCTTTAATGGCACAAGTTGTTTCTGGCTCCTGTTCTTTAACCAGTGGGTAACATATAGTAAATGTCTGACACGTGTTGGTTCAATTCCTAAACAAAATCGTTTGTGGCTCTGGAGTTACTTAGGCTGGAAATGTAGGCTGGGATAGCGAGGGAGACGGGCGATTCGAACACCGCCAGGTCTAGAGAAGCGGCTCCCACTGGCGACCCCTCCCTTTTCGGAGTTCCTCCCGCCCAGTAACCGCCTCGTTAAATTGTGGCAGATCTGAGCCATGATCCCGGAAAGCAGAGAGCTCCAACTGTACCATCTGTGCACGCAGGAAGCCTCGTATCTACGGGAGTGACTTCCTCGGGCTCCGCGCGGGCGCTTCAGACCGCGGGTTTGGGAGACTCCGCGACCCGGGCCGGCTCCGGGGCACAGACCGGCCAGGCTCAGGTGGGCGGGCGCACAGGTGGAGGGGGGTGCACTGCAAGGTGACCGGACGTCCCGATTTTTAACAATTTGTCCCGCCTCCCGCGGCGTTTTAAAAAATTTGGGAACAAAAATCAGGAATTTTTTAAAACGCCGCGGGAGGCGGGACAAATTGTTAAGAGATCGGGACTGTCCCGCTTTTGGGACGTCTGATCGCCTTAGTACACAGACGGCGGGACTCTAGGCCCGGTGCGTGCCCGGCCCGAGCCGCACTCCCGACCTCCCCGACTTTCGGCTTCCCTCGCCCGCCAGTTCTCCCAGTCCACTTTCCTCTAGCTCCCACCCAAACCACTCTCACCTCCGTCCCAGACTCCGCCCTACGGAAGTCACTACACATCGCCCCGAACGCTCGGTGAACCAGGAACTCAACTTTCCCGCCAGCAGCGCCATTTACGGCGGGCGGCGCCGGGATCGCTAGTCAGAGCGTAGACCTGTTGACCCGGACGCAAACGTGAGCGCTGCGCCCGCCCTCGGCCGGCAGGAAGTGGGCATGCGCAGAAGGCGGGTGCGCGCAGAAGTGCGCGTGCGCAGGAGGCGGAGTCGTACGTGCTCCAAAAGGCGTGGGGTCAGAGGGCGTCAGACTCTATTGCGTGAGACACCACATTGCGTCGGAGACCGAGGCGCGGCGGGTGACTACTTTCTTCTCACAAACTTCATTTCGTCTTTACTAGGTAAAGTTAACTGCATGTACTTTTTTAATTATTATTTTTACTACTAACAAACCATTTACCGAGTAAGCAGGCAACTTTTGGTCTATTTTCTAGCTGCGTATGTGATTGGTAATGAATTCTGAGAAAAAAGGACGCAAAATTTAAAACAACTTTTAAAACATACCGAGCCTGCACATTTATCCAGTCCTTTTGGAGATAGGATTTTAGTGCTATTGGTTACCAAATGTTTATTCGCTAAGATAGGCACTAAGTAGACACATGGAAAGACGAATATGGCGTCTTTACCGCATGCGAGGCCTTGCGCCACGTTCTGGGGATACAGCCGAGTAAGAGGCGAGCCTGAACGGGTTTACAACCAGTTTTTACTTTACAACGGCAGTGTCTGTTGTCTTATACTTTGTCGGTGCGAATTAAAAAATAATGTTTAGGCCTAGCCGGCTTGGCTCAACGGAGCGCCGGCCTGCGGACTGCAAGGTCCCGGGTTGGATTCCAGTCCAGGGCGTGTGCCTCGGTCGCAGGCTCCTCCCCGGCCTGGCCGTGGCCCGGGCGCGCATGCCTGAGGCAAACCATGTGTTTCTCTCACTCAGTACTCCTGTCTGTCTGTCTTCCCCTTGCTCTAAAATCAATGGGAAAATACCCTCGGGTGAGGATTAGGAAAAATGTTGTTTATAATGGTACTGATGGTTAACACTTACTGCTTGGTAAAGGAGCAAATGGAGGCGCAACTTTGTTCCACATTACTCCGTTTACCAGATTGTAGTGAGGCAGCACATAAGAAATAACTTGGTTATGAAGGAAGGAGGTAACATAAGGTCTAGAAAAATACAGGGGTTGGCAAAAGGAGGTTTATAGTTGTGAGTACATGAAACAGTTTATTCTTGTGCTATTATTTATTAATAAAGCTATTAACCTGCATGTCTTACCCATTAGAACAACTGCAAACCTATTTTTGCCCACCTCTATATAGGGTGAGGGGAGAGTCCTTTAAGAAGGCAAAGCCTGGGGCATGTTTAAATGCTGATTGGCATTGAGACTTAAGGATTTTTTAAGAACACCATCTGGCCCTAGCCAGTTTGGCTCAATGGGTAGAACATTGGCCTGTGGACTGAAGGGTCCCGGGTTCGATTCTGGTCTAGGGCACATACGGTACTTGGGTGGCAAGCCTGATCCCCAGTAGGGGGTGTGCAGGAGACAGCCAATTAATCTCAACATTGATATTTCTATCTCCCTTTCCCTTCCTCTCTGAAATCAGTAAGAGTATATTTACAAACAAACACCATCTGAGCAGGATACTTGGAGTAGGGATCTGAAGAGGAAGGAGGGTGTAGGTATAAAAATCAGCTTTAGATAGGGGAGGGTGTCTTGTCCACCCCTAGCAGAGATGAGGAGTAAAGAATAGCTGCAGCCCTGATTGGTTTGGCTCAGTGGATAGAGCATCAGCCTGTGGACTGAAGGTCCCAGGTTCAATTCCAGTCAAGGGCACATGTCTGGGTTGTGGGCTTCATCCCCAGGGAGAGGTGTGCAGGAAGCAGCCAATCAATGATTCTCTCTCATAAACATTTCTCTCTCCCTCTTCCTTCCTCTCTGAAATCAATAAGACTATATTAAAAAAAAGAAAAAAAAGGATGGGTGCAGATGCAGCTAAGTTTTGGTGTAGGCAGCTCAGAAAGGTTGAGGAGGTTCTAATTTGAGGGCTTATGTTTTTTTTTCTCTGAAGAAGGCAAGGAAGAAATTCAAGACTTAAAAGTCAAGTAACCTACTAATGTTACCATCTAAAAATGGTTCTTGATCCATTCTTGTACATGGAGCAGTGGGTTTTATAAAACTATAGAGTATGGCAGTAATTATTTTAATTAAGGTTATTTTCCTGCAGCACTCATTATCTGTAATCACATTTAATACTTAGTATATATTAGCACTCTTTTTCTCGTTGTACAGGACTTTCCCCCCCCCCCCCTAAATTACAGTCTTCTTGAATCCCAAGATGAATTTTCTGAACTCACCTTGAATTTTGATATCAAATGCAGCTAGAATTTCAACATGGTTCTGTTATCACCATGTACATGTTACTTATCACCCTGGACCTTAGTTAACACAAAGTGCTGTAATGGGCTAAAGGAAATAATGTACTTAAAACAGGTAGCACAAAATATAGATACCCTTTCTAATTTAGTTTATTCTTAGATCATCACTAACATAGTGCCAAAGATTCAATACATACTCAGTATGTATCTCCTGTTCTCTAATGGTAGTGACTAGGTCCAGATCAAGAGATGAGCCCATCAAGTAGTTACCCAGGTGGCCAACCATAATGGGGGGAAACTTTTTATTGCAATGCCAAGGAGATACTGTATATAGTTAGGAAGGAAAGGCACTTAGAGGGGAAAGGTCAGTGGATTGTGGTGGAAGGCAGAGTGGACAAGCTGGCACAGTCCCACCATCAATACTCACCTCTTCTCCTGACTCACTGCCACACAGAAGCAGAATTCTGAATCTGTTAAAAAAACAAAAAAACAAACAATATAGAAATACTCAAAATGTGCCAAATTGTATTATTTGCTCCCTTAAGCAAGTCCATAAATATTAATCCAATTTTGATGGTATTGATGATGGTGATGACTTAAGCAAGCTAAAATCCTTTTAGAACTGGGTAGAGTCCTGGATTTCCTGTCTTAGAAAAGCGAAGTCTGTTTTTGTTTATAACACACTGTGTCAGTTTATATAGTAAACAAAGCAAAGTTATGCCTCCACTGCCCATTATAAAATATTTGGGTTTCCATGCCGAAACCGGTTTGGCTCAGTGGTAGAGCGTCGGTCTGCGGACTGAAAGGTCCCAGGTTGGATTCTGGTCAAGGGCATGTACATTGGTTGAGGGCGCATCCCTGGCAGGAGGTGTGCAGGAGGCAGCTGGTCGATGTTTCTCTCTCATCAACGTTTCTCTCTCATCGACGTTTCTAGCTCTATCTCTCTCCTTTCCTCTCTGTGGAAAATCAATAAAATATATTTTAAAAAAATATATTTGGTTTTCCTGAGCTGAAGTTTCCGCTCCAATAAGGCCACCCACTTCACCTGCAAGTGTTCCTTACCCTTTCCCAAAGGAAATACTGATGTTCTGGATGTTGCTATTGCTATGAATAAGGCTAACTTGTCCGTGTGTAGGCTCTTTACAGTTCCTTTTTTTTTTTTTTTTTTTCCCCCACAGGAAGAGAGAGGGATAGAGAGCTAGAAACGTCGATGAGAGAGAATCATCGACCAGCTGCCTACTGGGGATGTGCCCTTGACCGGAATCGAACCCGGGACCTTTCAGTCCGCAGACCGACGCTCTACCACTGAGCCAAACCGGTGCCGGCCCTTTACAGTTCTTGATACCCACACTAAACAGTCTGTAGCAGGGTAAATTAAACATTTTGAGTAAACAAAGCAGAAGCTCCGAGAAGCATAGACCTGACTATAATTGAGACAGATAGGAAGACTATATTTTAAAATTGTGGCAAAATAGATGTACATGCCTCTCATTCTGATCTAAAAACTTCTATGCCTTGTTAAAATTTCTTGATAAAGATTTGTATCTAAATTTTTTATTTGAACTAGAAATTTAAACCTGGTAACAATAATGTCCTTCTGGGTTTCTAAAAGGTAAGAATTTAAACTAGTAGCATTGGCCATTACTAGCAGAACTGTTTTCTGTAATGAAAAAGCTTTATGTAGAGATAACTAATTTTCACCCACCTATTCTTTTAAAAGCCTAGGGAATAGAATGAGCTTATGAAATATGTCTTGTGGGTCATGCTAACGTTATACAAATTAGAGTATTTTTGGTTGCAAGTCACGAAACACTCAGCTCTTATTGATTTAAATAATGAATTTATTGGGTCAGACAGCTGGGAAGTTCAGAGGTAAGACAGTTTAAAGGTTAGCTTAATTGAGAAGATCAATTACACAAGTGCCTAGTTTCTTTTTTCTCTAGACAGCTTCTTATTTTTTACCTTGCTCTCGTGGGACTGTGTGTCCATAAACAATCAGGGAATAACTGGGCTGGTTAGCTGAAGCCTGAGCCACATTCACAGCCGTAGGCCCAGGGGTAGATGTATGTTTTTTTCAAAGGTAATAGGCTTTGTGGAAAGAAGTGGATAACAATAAATGACAGTCAGAACAACAAAATAAGAGTAGTTGGGCGAAGTGGAGTAGATGCTGGGGAAGCAACCTCTACTTCATTATACCCTCCACAGTGAGGATCCATATATGCAATGCCACAATCTCTTAGGAAGAAGACTTTATGATTGAATAGCTGCTGGGTACTAAGTGTGTTTCTTGGTCCTCACCCTGTTCCTAATGAAGATTATGTGCTGGTGGAACTAGTCCAGTCCTTAGTCACACCTGTTTTCATGGGCCATCTTGCTCAGCATGGTATTTAAAATTTTAATGTTCTAGAGACATCACTTCTCTTTTAAAAGAATGTATGAGGCACTCATGAATTGCTGGTAGAAATACAAACATGTTCAGTCATTTTGAAGGGGAAATTTGTTGATCTCTAACAAAACTACATTTATTAACATTTTGACACATCAATCCTACTTCTAGGAATTAATCCTCAAGTCATGCCTCCAATTCCACTCTTAGGTATATGCATTTGAAATCCATTTAAGTAGGTTTTTAATATGTTTCTGGGTATGCCTCTAACTTCCATGAGATAATAGCCTCCATTTCTTTCTCTGTGAAGGGGGGAAATGGAATATATAATAGCTTCCGCTTATTGAGGATCAAATATATTCCAGACTATCGTTATTATTCTATGTATATGATTTCCAACCTTTCCCTGCAAGGTATTTACCCACCTCTTATAGGTGAGTACTTTGAGGACCTGAGTGGTTTATGATAATGCAGTCTTCTAGCTAGTAAGTACCCAGGTCTACCTGACTGTAAATTCTTCAGTCTTCCTAACACATTAACTTGCTTCCAGAAGATGCAAGGATCTAATGCCTTTTACAACTCTATATTCTGTGATTCTTTACTCTTTTTAAAAAATTAAATGTATTGGGATAACATGGGTTAATAACATATATTTTAGGTGCACAATTTTATAATCAATCATCTGTATATTCTGTTGTGTGTTGACCCCCCCCCCCTTTTTTTTTTTTTTTACTTTTAGCAAGAAGAGAGTCCTCTCTCCGTGCCTAGTGCAGCCATGGCTCGTGGTCCCAAGAAGCATCTGAAGCGTGTAGCAGCTCCAAAGCATTGGATGCTGGATAAACTGACCGGTGTATTTGCTCCTCGTCCATCTACCGGTCCCCACAAGCTGAGAGAGTGTCTCCCTCTCATCATTTTCCTAAGAAACAGACTTAAGTATGCCCTAACAGGAGATGAAGTAAAGAAGATCTGCATGCAGCGGTTCATTAAGATCGATGGCAAGGTCCGAACCGACGTGACCTACCCTGCTGGTTTTATGGATGTCATCAGCATTGATAAGACGGGAGAGAATTTCCGGCTGGTCTATGACACCAAGGGCCGCTTTGCCGTTCATCGTATCACACCTGAGGAGGCCAAGTACAAGCTGTGCAAAGTGAGGAAGATCTTTGTGGGCACCAAGGGAATCCCTCACCTGGTGACCCATGATGCTCGTACCATCCGCTACCCTGATCCCCTCATCAAGGTGAACGACACCATTCAGATTGATTTGGAATCTGGCAAAATCACCGATTTCATCAAGTTTGACACCGGTAACCTGTGTATGATCACCGGAGGTGCCAACCTGGGAAGAATTGGTGTGATCACCAACAGAGAGAAGCACCCTGGTTCTTTTGATGTAGTTCACGTCAAAGATACCACTGGCAATAGCTTTGCCACCCGGCTCTCCAACATTTTTGTCATCGGCAAAGGCAACAAACCGTGGATTTCCCTTCCCCGTGGAAAGGGTATTCGCCTCACCATTGCTGAAGAGAGAGATAAGAGGTTGGCGGCCAAACAGTTGGTGAAATGAGCTGACGTGACAGAAGAATCTTTCACTTAAAGATAATGCAGCATGGGGGAGGGGGTGGGGGGGATAGGAGAAATGAACATGCCCACTAATATACTAATAATTCATAACTTAAATTTCATTCTCTTTTTCTGTGTGACAGTCCTTTACCCCAAAGTCATTCTCACTTCAACCTCTTCCTTTTTTAATATACCTGAGTTAATTCGTTGTACTTTTTAGTTTATAACCAGCTATCTGCTCCTGAAAAGCTCTCACAAAATTTGTTTATTCCCTTTTAGTCACATTTCTTACTTCCTATCTCATAGTTGCATAGGCAATTACTCTGATGTATTTTCAACATATATTTGAGTTTGTAGGTTTCTAGCAAAATAAGGAGTTTTGTTTTGACTTTATGTAATTACAATTGAAATGCAAATACAGATTTTAATTAATAACTATATTAATATTGGTTTGTTAAATGTAACAAATACACCATACCACTGTAGGATGGTAGTAATTGGTGAAACTGATGCCAGGTACATGACAGCTCTGTACTATCTTAAGTTCTCTGTAAATGTAAAATTACTTTAAAAAATAAAGCCTATTAAAAAATTCATGTGTGCAAGGATGATCATTGATTAAAAAAATACTATTTAAACTGATAAATTAGTGTATTTTACCACTTTTTATATTAAAAATGAAGGGTGAAGTGTGGCAAATACCTCGATATATACTAGTTTCATTTTTTAAAAATCCAATAACATTTAAAAGACTAAAATATTCTATATAAATTAGTTCATAATTTATATGTTTTCAACTACTAAGGGGCAAAGGAATATTCTTTGCCTTGTTTAAATAAAATATAACTGAATTGGGAAGCCCATTTTTTTCCCACTTGAAACTCAAAATTATTTTGTTCCTGATAGTTTTCCCAAGCCGCCTATGAAGCTGAAGTATCTAAATTTTCATCTTTGTTCTTAGCATTTGTAAGGTATAAATAATTGATGAATTCAGGAATTTGGGGGAATAGCTTAGGCTCAGTACTAAACTTTTTACTGTAAATATCCGTAGGCGCCAAAATGTACATATAAAATATGTCAGTTGGCATTAGGAAATGGGGCAACATGGATTAGAGTTGTGGAACAAGAAATCAGTCCCCACAGCCTCTGGCCACCACCACTCTTGGGTTTTATGAGTCGACTATTTTAGGTACCTCATATAAGTGGAAACATGCAATATTTGTCCTTATTCAGAATTTCCCTTTTTTAATATATTTCGTTGATTTTTTTACAGAGAGGAATAGAGAATTAGAAACATCGATGAGAGAGAATCATCAATCAGCTGCCTCTTGCACCCCTCCTGCTGGGGATGTACCCGTAACTAAGGTACCATGTTTCCCCGAAAATAAGACCTACTTACAGGTTTCCTTCTGAGTAAAATATAAGGCATCCCCCGGAAAATAACAACACCCCCCCCTCCCCAGGCTAAACAGAGATTTGGTCCACTGATTCTGAAAGAAATGGTCACAAATTCACCAGGAAATTCAGGAATTGGATTGTTATGATGTTCCAGAAGATGATGACATGATTGTCATTGAATAAATGAGTAAATTCTTGATACTGTAGGATTTACAGTTTGGTTTGTGTTGACAACTACCGTGCTACCGTACTGTATTACAGGTAATAAATTTCCTTTATATTGATTTAACAATAAATGTGTACCATATTCTTCATGGAAAAATATGACATCCCCTGAAAATAAGACCTAGCGTATCTTTGGGTGCAAAAATTAATATAAGACACTGCCTTATTTTCAGGGAAACAGGCTACATGCCCTTGACCGGAACGAACCCGGGACCTTTCAGTCCACAGACCAACACTCTATGAGCCAAACTGGTTTCGGCCAGAATTTCCCTTTTTTAAAGGCTGAATGGTATTATATTTCACTTCATGTATATACCACATTTTCTTCACTTTTTCATTGGTGTACATTGATGTTATTCCCACTTTTGGGGTGTTGTAAATAATGCTACAATGAACACTGGAGTCCTAATACCTGTTTGAGGTCCTGATTTTAATTACTTTTGATAAATAGTAAGATTGCTGGATCAGATGGTTCTATTTTTAATTTTTGGAGGAATCTCCATACTGTTTTCCATAATAGATAAACCATTTTACATTTCTAAGAAAACTACAAGAACTGCCACATCATTAAAACCTGCCTTTTGTGTGTTTTTTTTAATGGTAGCCATTCTAACCAGTGCGATGTGCCTTTCCTTGATGATTCATGAAGTGGAGCATCTTTTCATGTACCTGTTGGTCATTTGTAGGTCCTCTTTGGAGATGTCCAAGTCTTTAGCCAATTTGTTAAAGCTTTATCACATTGGTCTTGACAATGATAAGTGGGACTACATTAAATAAAGACTTGTGCACAGCACACAATAAAATGAAATGTCAGCCGAGACCGGTTTGGCTCAGTGGATAGAGCGTTGGCTTGGGACTGAAGGGTCCCGGGTTCGATTCCGGTCAAGGGCATGTACTTTGGTTGGGGGAACATCCCCAGTAGGGGGTGTGCAAGAGGCAGCTGATCGATGACTCTCATCGATGTTTCTAACTATCTCCCTTCCTCTCTGTACAAAATCAATAAAAATATATTTTAAAAAATGAAATGTCAGCTTATAGAATGGAAATATTTGCAAGCCATATGTGAGATAAGGGATAAATATATAAAATACATGACTTAAAAGCAAAAACAATTTATAAAATTTTTTCAACTCCATGCCAAAGGTTCCAGGTCCCAACTCGGTATAACAAATAATGAATACCTTAACTGGGATGAGCCTCTATTCCTATTTGCTCATGAAGTAACAGTCTCTTTCATTCCAACTCCCCAAGGCATTTCTGGGGTCCACCAGGGTTGTATCATATCAAATGTTTGCATCTTCTCTCCCAATACACCAGTAATTCTTAAGTCTGCAGGGGGTGAGAGAGAGGATCATGTAATTTGGGAGACACTTTTCAAACTACACACATTTTCACATTGTGTTGTGTGCCCTCTGCTCCCACCTTCTTGGGGAAGCACCCTAAGGAAACTGCTGTTAATGATGGAAGTATGTCTTTTAACTCAAATGTAGTAGAGCTTTTGAATAAAAGGTTGAGTGCAATTTTGAGCTTCTTGAAGTAAACACTTGATTTTCATTATTCTATGCCTCTAGTCTAACTGGGTGCCTGGCACATAAACAGGTGCACAATACCTACTGGTTAAATGGATTATAAAGGGTTTTGTGTGGTTTTTTTTTTTCATTTAAATTTTATTTTATTGAATACTTACCTGGCAGGGGAGATACCATGATCACGAAGGTGGTTTTCCCAGGGTGAGGCTTATCCATTGCACTCCGGATGTGCTGACCTCTGTGATTTCCCCAAATGTGGGAAACTCGATTGCATAATCTGTGGTAGTGTGTGTGTGTGGGGGTGGGGATTTGATTTTATTGATTTTATTTTTTAAAATCCTTACCCAAGGATATGTTTTATTTTTTATTGATTTTTTAAAAGAGAGGAACATTGATTCATTGCCTCTTCCAGGCACCCCAACCATGGATCAAACCTACAACCTGGGTATGTGCCCTTTCAGGGAATTGAACCTATCACCTTTCAGTGCATGAAACAAACGATGCTCCAACCAACTGAACCACACCAGCCAGGGCTTATTTTATTGATTTTTAGAGAAAGAGAAGAAAAGAGAGATAGACATCAATTTATTGTTCCACTTATTTGTGTATTCATTGGTTGATTCTTATATGTGCCCTAATTGAACCTACAACCTTGGTTTATCAGGATGATGCTCTAATCAACTAAGCTAACTGGCCATGGCAGTAAATGTTAATTTTTATCATGTAGTTTCTGGTTCATTCTTTTGGACACTTCAATATATCTTCTGGATTCCATTATCTTTTTTTTTCTTCTTTTAAAAAAATATTTTGCCCTAACCGGTTTGGCTCAGTGGATAGAGCATCGGCCTGCGGATTGAAGGGTTCCTTCCAGGTTTTCCAGGTTTTATTTTGGTCAAAGGCATGTACCTTGGTTGCAGGCACATCCCCAGGGGGGATGTGCAGGAGGCAGCTGATCAATGTTTTTAACTCTCTATCCCTCTCTTATCAATGTTTCTAACTCTATCCCTTTCCTTTCCTCTCTGTAAAAAATCAATAAAATATATATTAAAAATATTTATTTATTTTACAAGATACAAAATGAATTTATTACCAGATTGTATGTACAATATAATTAGCCATTTACATGCAATAAACTATTTCAAGAAAAATTATTTTAAATATATTACATGTAGATACAAAATAATCAGTTATTTACATTCGTTAAACACTGATATTTCAGCCGAAACCGGTTTGGCTCAATGGATAGAGTATTGGCTTGGGGGCTGAAAGGTCCCAGGTTTGATCCTGGTCAAGGGCATGTACCTTGGTTGCGGGCATATCTCTAGTAGGGGGAGTGCAAGAGACAGCTGATCGATGACTCTCTCATCGACGTTTCTAGCTCTGTATCTCTCTCCCTTCCTCTCTGTACAAAATAAAATATATTTTTTTAAAAAACACTAATATTTTAGGGAAAAGATTTTAAATATAATAATTGTAGTAACAGTATAATGTTACAAAAGTTGTAGGAAATATTAAGAATCTGCAAGTAACATGGATTTCATTATCTTGATTGAGAATTTTTTAAAAAATATATATTTCTTTATTGATTTCAGAGAGAAAGGGAGGAGAGAGAGATAGAAACAACAATGATGAGAAAGAATCATTGACCGGTTGCCTCCTGCACACCCCCAACTGGGGATCGAGCCTGCAACCCAGGCATGTGCCTTTGGCCGGAATCAAACCCGGGACCCTTCAGTCCACAGGCCGACGCTTTATCTACTGAGCCAAGCCAGCCAGGGCTTGATTGAGAATTCTGCTGTCTGTCTTATTGTTTGTTGCTTTTGGTTTTATTTTGCTTTTTCTTTCTTTTATA